GAAGCCACATCTGGCCTCGGCAACAGAGTTACCGTTTTCACCTCCACTGCACTCTACTCTTCAAAATATCAAATGCCAGGTGAAAAGCTCAATAGTTACCTGCTGGTCTCTGGGGGTGCAGAACTGAACACCCAAAAGGAAGAAAATGTCTTAAGTCAAAGCCAAATGGCCAACATGAGTGAGGAAAAGCAACCGATCTTCTGAATACTTCAATCTCAATCTATCTACCCTCCTCATCTTTCCCCCATTAAAGAACAGAATACTGGGGGTAACAGCAGCACCTTTTCAAGAGTCTGTTGCATCAGTCACTGCTAGTCAACACCACGTCAACACGACATGAAGACGGCAGCATGTAGTACAAGAACGCTAATCTAAGAGTCGAGAAGAACCAGACTGACGTCCCAGCTGCAGAGTGTTCCTTCTCCAGGTTCTTAAGCAAATCACTTACCCTCTCTGAACCTAAACTTTCTCATATTACCTGGAAACCTTGGTGGCGTAGTGGTTAAGAGCTACGGCTGCCAACCCAAAGGTCGGCAGTTCAAATCCACCAGGCGCTCCTTGGAAACCCTATGGGGCAGTTCTATTCTGTCCCATAGGTCGCTATGAGTTGGAATTGACTCAACTACAACGAGTTTGTTTTTTTTGGTTTTATAAGATGGGGTGAGGAAAGGGAGTAGGATAAAGAGGCCCACTCATTGACCTTCAAGCTCTAAATCTCTATGATCTTCTGATTCTAGAAGTCCACAACCACATCGTTCTTGGGGCAGCTTGGCTAACACCATCAATCAAACAGGGAAATGGGAACATCAGCCACTGGCCAATTTTGTTGGCTTCAAAACAGAGTTTGGTTTGTTTAATAAAACTTCTCTGATTGAGCCCAGTGACCGTTATTAAAGATGCCTTCTAACTCTCAAAGGAATCTGAGTTCAGAAGGGAAGAAACCAGCGTTTGTCGCTGGTCACCTACAAGCCAATGGAGTGTTTTCACCGTTAGTCTGACTGAGATCTCATGACCATAGTAATAGGCTGAATGAGACTCCAAAAAGGCAAGTCTATGTCCTAAGCCCAGAAATCTGTGAATTGGACCATATTTGGAAAAGGGGTCTTTGCAGACGTAATTAAGTTAAAGATCTTGAGATGAGATCATCCTGGACTATCTGGGTGAGCCCTAAATCCAAAGACAAATGACAGGTATCCTTATAAGAGAAGTAGAGGGGGATTTGAGATGCACAGAGGAGAAAGCCACGTGAAGACAGAGACAGAGACTGGAGTTATGCTGCCCCAAGCCAAGAAACACCAAGGATTGCCAGCAACCCCCAGCTCCCTCAGAGCCCGCAGAAGGAACCAACCCTGCCAACACCTTGATTTCGGGCTTCTGGCCTCCCAAACTGTGAGACAGTAAGTTTCTGCTGTTGCAAACCACCCAGTCTGTGGTAATTTGTTATGGCACCCTTAGGAGACTAATACAACCATTGGAGGAATGAGGTAGATACCACCATCCCAACGTGATTGATGAGCAAACAGAGGCTCAGAAAAGCTAAATAACTTGCCCAAATTCACGCGATGCCCCAGGCTGACAGACCTTCTACTCTTTCCACAATACCAGGTTGCCTTTTTCTAACACTCCTAAGTCTCAGCTCCTTCATTTTTAGACACAAGGAAAGTAAAACGAAAAATTTAAATAACTTATCCCAGGTTATAGCTTCTTGGTGTCAGAAGCGCAGTCAGAATCCAGCGCCTCAGCATTACTCACTGATGAACTTATGGCAGAGACTTCCCACCTCCCAGAGCCAGCTATTTCAGAGGCACCCGTTTTATCATCGCCACTATTACTGAAATGCAGGGCTTCACACTCATTCTCCCTTACGAGGAAATGGCTGAAAAGTAATGGTGTCAATTTTAATGAGGATCAAGTAAGGCTCCTAAAGGGGCTCCCATAAGCGAAAGCATTTCCCTCACACACAACAATGACTTGCTGTTTAATTCCAGAACACAAGAATGTCACTTAAATTACACGCCTTTTACACTAAAGTGCTTATGGGAATGCCTTTCCAGGGAAGAATTTCAATAAAAAGATCTCATTTGATGCTTCATAATATCTGAACCACAAATCTATGTATCATAGCAACAAAAGTAAAACCTCGAAGAATGCGCAAAAGAGCAGGACATCAATTTCACTGCGTAAGACTTTCAGGTTTTCTGTGATGCAGAGAGGTCGCTTTTATCGTTCAGGGATATATTCAGTTTGGACCTGAGGGCCGCCAGAAAGTTCTTGTTGAAGCCTGAATTCTTTTTGTTTCGACTTGCAGAGATGTTCAGAATGACTGTCTACCAACCCCGTAAATCTACATGAGTCTCTTTAGCAGACTCCTATCTTAGTTTATGAGTGCTTTTCAAAGCAATTACAAGAGCTCTGAGCAAAGATGAGAGAGTATTTCACACCTCCATCTTTACTGAAAATGTCTTAGACTCCACTGACTTTTGGCTTCTATTTATAAAAGAAGGTTCAGGGCTTGGAAAATTATTGAAGCTGAGCTTTAATGGATATTCCCAACCAGCATTGTGTCATTATTGGCCCACGTTTCGCTGGGCGAGCTCCCAAATTTGTGACATAATCAGACCTTTCTCTGCATTACTCCATACACTCCACGCTCCCTCCACATTACACCACTGAATCATCCACTCTTTTCAACAAGACCGATTGCCAGGGGATTAACATTAGACAGCACGATTCCATTATTCAGCAGCCCGATTCAAATCCCAACCCTAAACTCTAATAAGAGAGATTTCAGGGCTTCAGAGACGAGATGCCAGAAAGCTCAAAGAGAAGGTGGGGTGAGGGGCTTGTGAATGTTTTACAACTCAACCTAAACCCTGCTGTAAGCAAGAGCCATGGCTGAAGTGGCCCAGAGACAGGACTTGGTGACTCCTTGGAACGGTCCCAAGCAATCTTAATCAACGATTCGAGAAGCATTTAAGCCCCAAGGACTGCTACAGCATAATTATTTCATTCCTGCAATAAATTACTTAATTCTAAATTAGATATTGAGAACTTTTAGCCAAAATTCTAACTTTCTTTCCTTACATGGAAACACTTTCATGTTAAATTCAGTATACGTGAGGCCCAAAGTGAAATGAAAGTCCTGTGCTTTTCAATCAATGGATTTATAGCACATCAGTGCCGAAAGAAATGCTAACTGTTTTGCTCTCCTATCTGAATGTTACTTCTCTTTGTGTTTGTTTTATAAAATAGCTGTACATAGTCATGTTCTCGCTAGGAAACACACCGTGAATATCTCTATGAGAAAAGTGGGCTTAGAAGCTCTTATGAATATTCCTTACAACCTACATTATACAAAAACCTATCAAATTTCACATCAAGGCTCCAAACAGCAAAAATACCATGTTCACAGATAACAGTAGCACTTTTTTCACTGAGTAAAACCCCCTGCTGTCAAGTCAATCCCGACTCAGTGACCCTGTAGGACAGAGGAGAACTGCCCCATAAGGTTTCCACGGCTGTAATCTTTATGGAAGCAGGCTGCCACATCTCTCTCCCACACATTGGCTGATGGGTTCAAACCACCAACCTTTTGGTTAGCAGCCGAGTGCTTAATCGCCACAGCACCAGGGTTCCTTTTTCATTGAGTACTTACATACAAAGCAAGTAAAGTCTATATTATGCTCACTAAGGCAGGGTGGATTGGGGATTTAATTTAATTGAACGTGATAGAAAAAAACAAATTGGTTTTCTGCTTCATTTTCAGTTAGCCTAACATTTCACTAAACCAAATCCATGCAAATAGGTTAATCAAGCTTTTGGAAAGTTTCTTAATGGCTCTTCGGGTAATTCAAATATCTATGGGGGGTCCCTCTCTTCAAAGAGTTTATACTTTATTGAGAGAGAAGAAATGCCCACATGTGAAATAATACTAGGGACACACGCATATGGAATGATGGAGGAGAGACCTGGTTTACAGATGCACAGTGGGTGGGCGTGTTTGTGGAGTTACAGTCCCACTAAGGCAAAAGGAAGCGGGGGAGCTTTGAGTTGAGTCTTAAGCAGGAGTCAGTGAACTGTATGCAGAAAAGGGCAAACTGAACGGGTAACTGGAAGCAAGGGCTCAAGGACAGGGGAGTTGTGGCATAGGGCTGAAGGAAGGAAGGATGGCGCCTACACAGAAAAGGTCTTAGTCTACCATCCCTGCAATAAGATGGTCTGCAGATAGACATGTCCTAGGTGTAGTTCCACAGGTTATCAATCCTCCAAACAGACAGGGAAACCACCTTTCCTCGTCGGTTACAATAAAACCCATCAAAATAGGCAAGATTTGGGAAGAAATTTTAGAGTCTCCAGGCCAATAGACTACGTGGTCTTCAGATGTTTAATTAAAATGGCTGACTTGTCTGTACTCTGGTAAAAAGTTCTTCGTAAGGTTGTATACACAGTTCTCTTTTCAAGGAGGAAATAACCTCCAGGAACATTTAACTTGGAGCATCTAACGACCTTCTTCTAATGGAAGTGAAGAATCCCTTGGCATCAACCTTCTTCCAGCCAGCCATGGGGTCGGTCATCAGAATCTTTTTTTTTCCTCTTCAGGCAGCATTATACACTCGTCTCTCTTTAGAGAATGTTGCCTCTCGTAAAAACACGTCGTTCCTAAGGCAACTCTGTACCCTTTCTCTGCACCCGCTAACATTTTCTGAGTAATCTCAGCTTCCAGAATGTCAGCACATTTCACCCCACGTTCTCCTTACACAAGATGACGCTCGGGAACCAAGAGGATCACGCCAAACACATCAAACCTTGCTAATCAGGAAAACAGCCCTGTCAAATGACAGAAGAATCCTTCGCGACTGACAGGCTGTGCTTACTAAGAATGAAAACCAATAGTCCCTCCTTAAGCTCTGAGGAAAAACAAGTCTCACTTTCACAATTCCAAATGAGTCAAGATAGAATAGGCTGCCTTACAGCTGCCACGTGGGACAAGCGAAACTCACCAACAACATCGAGGTGGTATGTGTGATTCATGGAACCATATTCATTCTCCACCACACAGGTATAATTTCCTTTGTCGGAAGGGACCACACTCTCCATAATAAGGCTCCAGTGCTGGCTTCGTACCTGAAAAGATCAAAGCAATGGCGGTCATTTAGCGATCTCAGCACAGACTACCAGGTACTTTGCTTTCTTGACTTCAAGTTGGAGGAGGTGGGATGGCAGAGCAGAATCACCTGAATCCTAAATTTTCCTCACGAGAAGGACTCAGAATTGTGACAACTGAAAACAGTAATTATCATCATAGTGGACAATTACCAAGTGGATGTTGACGTGTTCAGAAAGGCAGGGGTGTGCCAGGCATCTGTCACTGTCGTGGAATTGACGGTTCCTCCAGGAGAGGCCAAGCGGCCAGGGGGCCTGAACCTCAGCCTGGCACAGAATCAATGCCCCAGGACAGGGAGGCACTCAGGTCACTATAGTACCAAACCCCTCTGCTCCCCCACTTTCTCCTGTGACCATCTAGAAAAAACACTGTTGCTCTGGTTTGCTGCCATCAAATCGGCCCCGACTCATGGAGATCCCATGCACAATGGAACGAAACACTGCCCAGTCCTGCACCATCCCCATGATCAGTGACAGATTGGACCGTTTTAATCCATAGATTTCCTCTCTTTTCTATTGTAGTTTAGGTGAAGGTTTACAGAATAGTTTCTCATTAAGCAGTCAGTACACATATTGTTTTATGACATTAGTCAACAACCCCATGACATGTCAACACTCTCCCTTGACCTTGGAGGGCCTTTTCTTTTTTTGGTGAAAATATACTAGCGAAAGACACTCCATTTCAAAAATTTCTACATGTACAATTCAGTGACATCGATTACGTTCTTCCAGCTGTGCTGCTATTCTCACTGTCCTTTTCCAAATTATTCCATCACCATTGTCTTCAACTCACTGTCCCCTAGGCTTCCCATCAAACCTTTTGAGTTGCTGCTGTCAGTTTGATCTCAGATAGATAATTCTTTTTTTATTTTTTGTACTTTAGATGAAAGTTTACAGAAAATAGTTTCTCATTAAACAGTTAGTACACTTATTGCCCTATGACAATGGTTAACATTCCCATGACAGGTCAACACTGTCCTTACTCAACCTTGGGTTCCCTATCACCAGCTTTCCTGTCCCCTCCTGCCTCCTAGTCCTTGTCCCTGGACTGCTATGCCTCAGTAGTCCTGTTTTGTTTTATGGGGCTGTCCAATCCCCGCCTGAACGGTGAACCTCGGGAATGACTTTACCACTGAGCTAAAAGGGTGTCCGGGGGCCATACTCTCGGGGTTTCTCCAGTCTCTGTCAGACCAGTAAATCTGGTCTTTTTTTGTGTGTTAGAATTTTGTTCTACATCCTTCTCCAGCTCTGTCCAGAACCTTCTGTTGTGATCCCGGTCAGAGCAGTCAGTGGTGGTAGCGGAGCACAATCTAGCTACACTGGACTCAGTCTGGTGGAGGCCTTGGTAGCTGTGGTCCATTAGTCCTTTGTTAATCCATAGATTTCACCGGCTGATTTTCAGGAGTAGATCACCAGGCCTTTCTTCCTAGTCCTTAGTCTGGAAGTTCCACTGAGACTTGTTCAGCATCATAGCAACATGCAAGCCTCCACTGACAGACTGGGGCAGGAGGTGGCTGCACATGACGTGCACTGGCCGGGAATCGAACCTGGGTCTCCCACATGGAAGGCGGGAATTCTACCATGAACCACCACTGCCCCCCGGAACAAACACTAGTGAGCACTTACCGCATGCCAGGCACAGTTCTGAGCCCTCCTTCCATCTTAGCTAATTTAATCTTCACAAGGAGCCCACGAGGTAGGTGCTATCATTGTTCCTGGAGCCTTCAGTGTGAAAGCCCTCATTTCTCATCCCGTGGCCCTTAGTCCTGTCTGGAAGTCTCAAGAAGTTTCAGTTGGGAACATCGGTCTACCCCTCCCACCTCTGGTGGCAACTAAACAGATGCTAGATATTCCTGAGAGAGATTCCCAGAATTCCAAAAATGGGAGAAATGAATCCTTGTGAAGCTGAAGCTGTTTATCAATCTGTTGACAAACCCCTTGAGACTTTTCAAAGATAAGCAGCACATTCAAAAATAAGTTATTGTGATTCCTTCGCACAGTTTGGTCAACACGCAAACAGACTAGATTCTAACATTCCCACCTTGCTTCTAAAATATTTCAGCAGCCGCAGCTTTTCAAGCAGGCAGGCTTTTCCTTTACTAGGGCAAAACGCAAATTTCACCCTTAGGGTTCTAAGGCTTCAACGTTTCTCTTCAAATCCAAGTCATTCTTTGAAGGTATTTTGGCCAGGGCACGCCTCCAAAATTGAAAGAAAAACAATTTCAAGCAGCCAGGGCCCACTAATCTTAACTATCATTTCAGAAACTTCAACTGACCTTCTGAATAACGCCCTGAACATGACAGTGTTTTCTGCCTTAATCACATAAAAACCGATAATACATGCAGGGCCTTAGCAAGCACATGGGTGATTCAAGGGTCTAACCTAGAGAATAAAGACGATCGTGTTGGGAATGCTCCATTACAGAAACGGGACAGCTGCTCTGTCCACACTGAAAAGCAGTGTCAGTGATGACTCTGCCAGCAGAGGTAAGAGAGCATCACAGCACACGGTAGCACAACTATTTTCACGTCGGCTGTTGACTGACGTGGTTACTGATGCTACGTTCAAGGCCAACATCACTGCCCATCACTGACATGCTTATGAAGGATCACTGGGGTGGAGGCGGGACTCTTTCTTAACCAGGTGCAAGCAGAGAGTTAGACTGGGTTCTGGACAGTCACTTTGCTTTGGCTGTTGCCTTTCACTGACTCTCCCCAACAACCAGGGAGGTTGTTTCAGAGTCTAGCATCGTGGGGCTGGTGATGGGAAACTGATTCTCAGGGTTACAGGTGAAATGTTTGGCAGTAAAATAAATCTGTCAGCATCTGATCGAGAGGGTCTGTACTCTACATCCGCCAAGACTCCCTTTCTGCTCTTGGCCTGGCCATGGACTTGGAGGAGAAACCAGTCAAGAGGCTAGTTGCCCTCTGGCGTCCTTGGGTGGTGCCAGCGATTTACACTTGACTAATAATCTAAAGGTTGGTGGTTCGAACCCACCCAGTGGCTCTGCAAAAGAAAGGTCTGGTGATCTGCCTCCGTAAAGATTACCCTACGGGGCAGTTCTACTCTGTAATACACAGGGTTGCCATGAGTCAGAATCGACTCAACAGGAAGGAGTTTGGTAGTCTGGTTTAAGTGTCCTCGTAAGAGATGTAAGCACCTCCCATGCCAAATAAGCAGAAGAAGTCTTCTGAAGTAGATCTAGATGCTAAATTTTCCAGTGCAGTGAGAATCTGCTATCTAAATCCTGGTCCCCTGCATGCCACGCTGGAGCTGCTGCATGCTAAGAATACAGGAGAGGAAGGTACTGGCGTCTTGATTAAATTCGAGGCAGATGGGCCCACTAGGAGACCCTCTCCCCACCCCAAGCTCTCAGGGGTATCAGAAATGGAACACAGGGCCAGGATTCCTGCCCTCCACATGGGAACCTCCTGGCCTCTGAAGAACCAGTCACGTGGGTGCCTTAGGGATGAAGCCACAGACCCCAACGTCCCAAGTCATATAATCCAGCATTTAGCCCTGCTGTAAATATTCAGTTCTTTGAGCCCCTGCTCAAATGTCATGCCCATAAGCCCTTAATCATGGCTAGTGCCTGGCTCTGGACCCCATCCAAACTGTCAATGTCTTTCTTGCGCCTCGATCCACATTTGGCACACAGCGTATTCCAAGTGGAGCTGAACCTGAACTGCCCAGGGGAGGGACACCGTCTGCCTCAGCCCCAAACATTAAATCTTGGCATATGCAGCTCGGTGTGCTGCTGCCTTTTGTAACTCCAGGGCATATGGTCAGCTAGAGTCTCTCACTGGGGCCCTCGCGTTCCCTCTCTCAAGGGCACGTGCTCTCCAAATACTTACTTCCTGGAGATGCACCACAAATATTAAAAAGTTAACGTTTGTCAAATGTTTCTACAATGAGAAGTACATTTCCCTAACATGTTTCTGTCCTTACAGAGACCTTGGTTCTCAATCAGCACTACCCCATGCAGCGCCGTGAGTATTTATTTTCTTACACCACTGATCCAGTATCTGATTCGTTCACATACCACCAATCCCAAATTTTATAAGCTGTGGCATTTTTTTAAATGGATATCCTTCAAAGCCGCCAATGGTGGGACTGCTGGACATTTCTGTAGGGGATGTCCTACCATTAATTAGTGACTTACCGTTCAGCTTAGAGACTCCCAGCAGTAACTCTATAAAGATGGGAACGAAGGTACAAAGTATGATTTTTAGCGGCTCTGTTTCTATAGCAAGATTTAGGAGAAAACGAAAGAAACCACCCTCCCAAAGAAGATGTAAGATGCCTCTGAACATGCTGAGCTAAACTCCTCAGCTTTTTAGGGCTACAGTTTTTTTTTAGTGAGGTCAAAGGCACCTTTGCTTTCACAGAAGAGGGAATGCAAATACCCAATAAACATGTGATCAAAAGATGTGCAACTTCATTAAGGATCTGGAAATGCAAATTAAAATGATGCGACGCCGAGATTCAGCAGCCGATTACCAACAATCAAAAGGAGCAATGGCATTCAGTGCTGGGAGAAGGTGTAGGGAAACAGTGACTCAAGTGAGGACGGGAACATGAACTGAGACAAACCTTTGTGTAAAATAACTCGGTGCTACCTACTAAAATTAACAATATTATTATTATTATTATTTGGAGCCAGTTAATTCCACTTCTAGAATCTAGCCCACAGAAAACAGCATGATTACCTCAAGACACAAGAATAAGGCTGCTCCCTCAAACACTGTCTATAGGAGCAAAACACGAGAATTCACGAGCACTGTTAATCCTTACAACAGAATAGTATACAGTTGTTAAAAACAATGACGTAGATTCTTATGTTCCAATCTAGTACAACCAACCCACTGCTGTCTAGTCAATCCCAACTCATAGCGACCCTATAGGACAGAGTAGAACTGCCCCATAGGGTTTCCAAGGCTGTAAATCTTTACAGAAGCAG